TCTAGGATTACCAAGGTATGAAATCTTTTTGAAAATCAAGTTGGTAAGCGAGTATGGATTCCCACATGTCAAAACCTCTAATCTATTTACCAATTACATTACATTACATTGTTTATATGATATATTACTATTATATATACATAGCAGGGGCGTAGCCAGCATTCAGTGAGGGGGTGGGTGCGGTCGCCAAAGAAATGTTGGTTTTCAGTCGGGTGTGCGATTGTGGCATAAACAAGCCAAAACATCGTTTTGAATTTAACAAAAATTGATGCAACTTCCTTCAAAAATTGATCTAAAAGCTTCAAATAAAAGCATTTAAAAATTTTATTTTATTTATTCAAAAACGATGCAGTACGTATAATTAGAAATTCATTTAGTAAGACATAACGATGCATATTCAGAAACTCAAAAATAACACAAGGCTGATTCAATGGTGGTTATTGCATTTTCCCTGCAGCAAAAAGAGGAAAGTTTTCTCGAATCGCTGTTTTCAAGGTACATGTCCTGGTAATAAAAACGACATAAAGGGCTAATATAGTCGCTAACAAACCATAGGTGCCACAGCAGATTTATATCAAGATTCAGTGTAGACGTTTATCATTATACACTTCAATGTACCTGTTAAAATAGTCGCTCGGTGTACAGGCTAATTACATACCTTGTCGGCAAACGGGACTAATTTTTTCGCGGAGCATTCCACGAGTGGCGTGGACAGTTCATAAGCGATTCATGGGAAATTAGTTTGTTATTTACTTTTTGTGGACCTCGTCTCTAATTTCGATATAAAACATTTAAATCCCTTTATTTGAAACATCAAAGCTTTCGAATTGTATTTTCGCCGATCATAGCTACACATGGCTTGACTTGTAACTCTCCGGCCGTGCATATTCACTTTAAGCACGGAATGCTTAGATCGCCACAATAACACATTCACTGGATGTAATGCATGGATGCTGCCATGACGCCGTTCCGCATTTTTCCAAATGGGAACTGAGAATAAACTGCATCTTCAATTATCAGGAGACATTTAATTCACATCTTGGACTAAATCCAAAATAAAAAAGATTGAAATAAATAATCTAATTACAAATCAATTTCACTTTTTAAAAGATAGTAAATCCAGGTAAATTTCACAACCGTCACAAATAATGTTATTTTTAAATGGAATGCCCGCCTGGCCGGGTTTGCCCGAAAACATCAAAAATGTGTCGCCGGTAAATTTTTCCAACTAAACCCAGTGGAGCTTATGTTTGAAACATAACATTGGGACGTAAAGTGGCGTCAAGAGCTGGGCTAAGTGTCTGCCTGGTATTGTGCAGAGTGTACTGAAGTGCGGATTTTCATCATGTAAAATAGGATCAGCCCAAAATCACCTTATACTTCAACATACACTTTGTCCACTCAAGTTAAACTTCAAAAGGCAGCCAGGTGTAAGAGTAATACGCGAAAATGGAGCCTTTCGGCTTTTTAGATGACTGGGGTTTAGCAGACTCAACGTGCATTAAGTTTTCTTAAAGATTAATCCAGATTCGAGAGAAGTTTTATTTAAGTTCATAAATACGTATTTGTTGGTTCGATTACAAGCATTTGATTTGTGTATTACAATATTTTCACGTGTTTAATGAAGTGAGTGTTCAATGGGCGCCACGACTGTTAAATTTTAAGCTTTATGTGTGGTAAATGTAGGGGCGTGTGCAGCGTACAATGCGCATTCACACCTAAGTATACCCTCTCTAAGCCGAGACCTGCCTTTTCAACGTTAAAGGAGTTTTAATGAACTCCTTTATAGACCCGTCTCCGTCTTATTTGGGGTAATTATTTTATGCGGTTGAAGGGTCCTTACAAAGAAGGCGGAGTTAGATCCATTCGTATGCCAATCACTCGGTTGATTTAATATAAAAGACCCCCTGCTTTTGTCTATTTGTCCCCTGAAGAGTTCACTTGAGCTAATTTTCTAGTTAGATGCTCATTTTGTTGGAGACGACCTGCGTCTGAGATGGTTGAAGTTTATACTAGAGCCCTTGGTGGCCCTTGCTTTTGCGGCATTAAGGCTAGGTGTCCCGACGTTTTACACAGTGTCATTCTTTAACTTTCAATACCGCTAACGAACTCAAGCTGAGCAAATCGCCAAAAACTAGTGAAAAACCATCCGTTCAAAAACCCGGAAAATATGATAATTTAAGGTCTAAATTTCAAGTGTAAAATTAATGTTTTATCACAGCGATCGCGCTGTCGGACTTGACAGAGATCTTAGCGAATGTTTTGACTCTATCACAGGCCCGAGACAACGCGTCTTGTCCACGATCAATAAAGCCAGGACTTACTATTACAACATCGGGACAGAATATCGTCTCAGCCAGCGAAATGACCAACCAGACATTTTGCGTGGCTTCAATTTATTACGGTCTGATGTACTATTTTGATATTCAGGAATTCCAGCACTGTCCATTGTGTTGTTTTTCTTTTGAATTAATCGCGAACGCACTTTTAATATAAAACGCGCAAGTGATATAATAACAAATCACGAAAAATAATTCTTAGAAATCAATACAGATCAACTCATTACTTTGGAAGATGAAACATTTATCAGGTTGATACATTAATTGGGGCAATTAATCCTAGGATTAGTGAAGTTTTTCGGATCTCTCTGGGTGTCGTGCCCTAAATCGACCCCTTGATGCCCATTCATTTTTCCGATAAAATCCCGCCGCTCTACCGCACAAAATTATATACTTTATAAAACTCACGGTTGACGTATATACCGCTTGGTATACATTTAATACTAGCATCCATTTTATTCAAAATCAAACTTGATAATCGACAAAAAAATTGTTAATCAAATTATTTGAAAAGTTCACACCTTTGTCGTGTCACCAATTGCTCTTTTCGAGTAGTGGTGTCTCTAAGTCTACGACGTGCACCTTATAATGCAATTTATAGTGTAAAATATGTTCTCTAGACTCTAAATTGTTTGTTTACTACACAGTCAAGATTTTTACAAATCAAATCATTATAAAAAGTCGCACCTTTAAGACTCTTGAAACTCTTGTTGAATGATTAAAGTGATCATGAAAATGAATATTAAGAGCCAAAAGACAGGTTGATTCATTGGAGGTTACTCCACATAGTTTAACACAGGAGTGTTCTCCCGTAAGGGTTGTGTACACCTATATGGTGTATTGTGTATCGCTAATGTACGGCGCCTATGCTACTTAGAAATGTTTCAATGTCCGGAACTAGTGAATAAGTAATCATTCGCATTGATTGCCACATTATATGAATTTCTTTCTTCACTTCCAAATGGCATAACCTGACTGTTAAATCACAAAAAGAGAAAAGGAGGTAATCAAGCGAGTGTACTAAAGGTGGCGCTCGATGCTCTTTGTGGAGATGATCTGGGGTCGATCTGATCTCAGGATAGTATCGTATCCTCCATTCTCCATTGCAGCGCTATCGTGTTATCCATTTATGGCAAATCTACTTAGAGAGGATACAATATCGGGATTTGGAGAGTGCGATCAGTGATAGAGGACAATGTTTGTGAGTTAGAGTAACTCACGTGGGATTATTGACATTCAACCCTAAGTCAATAAAAACTCTAGACTCCCGTCTCCGTCAAGTTGTAGGCAAACATAAAATCAACTGATTTTCGACCGTTCTTGACACCTCACTGTGTCAGTCAAAGGACGGGGCGGGAAGGAACATTGGGCTTATTTAGAAAGACCAAGTTTATGTATTGATCGTGACTTGTTCAAATCACTTCATCTCTTAGTTAACTTACGTCATGTTTGCTTATCTTGCTCTAGAACTTCCTAATTTCGCACTTATGTTCACCTGAAATGCCTTCCTACCGCCCCAACGTGCTCTTGCAGGTTGCCTCAGTTGTGTGTTTTGCTCCGTCAGTCCATGACGGCTTTTGTGACTTGTGTGCCCATTTTTTATAACCACTCTGGTTCAATTCTTGTATTTCTCTATTTCGGTATGTTCAGTCAGTTTTGATACATTTGAATAGTTTTCATTTAGATTTTTTATTGATTATGTAACCAATGTGTGTTTTTATTCATTATAAACAAAACAAAAGATGAAAATAGGAATTTACCAAAGGGTTCGATTGTTAGTCATTCATTAGCAATGGCTCAAGCCTCCCTCCAATAATAATTAGCTCATAAAGCACCGTCAACATTCTATCTTAAAATCGTTCTGGTCTATCATGTAATTAGCATCATCACTAGCATCTAGATTATGATTACCTTTGATAGTAGCGTTCATAACTGGTAAATGGACCTTACACCATTTCCAGGGCGCCACTCCGCGGAAACAGGCAAATTGCAAAAATGTATATACACTGACTCACTATAATTCAGCGCTTCAAATGTATAACAGAAATGCAATTCATACAAATGAAACTGTGGGAATTCATTAACTTATCTATATGAAATCATATTTTTTCATCTTACCATATGACGCCGGGTTTGGGTCGCTAATAACTAGATAATTGTAAGGGGTCGGTAGACATATCAGTTAAGAGCGTCGTCAAACGGAGGCAACCAAGGGGGCAGCCTGTCCTGAACACTGTTCTATCTCTGTATATCTCAAGTTAGAGAAAGTTTGATGTTGTGTTGTATGCATAAGTGCCTATGTCCATCTATAAACCTTTTGTCGCCAAACGTATTGACGGCAGACTGCTTTTGTTGACAACATGCCACATTTTCACAATAGTATCAAAGCAATGCTTCTTTACCGCTGGCTGATCAACGCAGGAGGCATCTAACGGCGTAGTCTACTATACAAGGTTAGCTCTGACTATTACACCCAGTTAGCGAATAGTCTGTTGACTAGACTAAACACACTAGTCAATCATAGCTCCATTAGTAGTTGATACATGACTAGGTGATATATGCTTGTAACAAGCTCCGCCTACTTAAGTGATATCGACTCCTTTCTGTCGGGACCTCCACCAATCAGCGGTTATTAGATATTTCATACAGTGGCAGTCTTATAAGCTTTATCATCGACTGATCGTCCGTAGTGTCTACTCGCTTCTCCTCTTGTTCAGGCTGCTGAATCTTGAAACGCACCAAAATTGAGCATCTTTATAAAGGACTGTGCATTAAGGAGACCAAGGACTAATGATATACGATCAAACCGGGCGTAGCGAGCCCACGGAGTACGAGAGAACCGCAGCAGCTACTATGGCTTTTTCGCCGTTCCTTATGAGGCCCTCTACGGACTACAGCATGAGTGCAATTTTGGGGCAAGTGAGTCAAGTTGGGCAGAACCCGTACCAAGTACCGGGTATGCCGCATGGTATACACCCTAGTATCTTGCCTAAATTACAGCAAACGGTTGCTAGGACTCCTCTTACGCCCGCAGATATCATAGCCCATCAACACATGGCAAGGGGCTACCCGCGCCCTCTAGAGCCAGAGCCCGACGTTCAAGATGACCCTAAGGTAGAATTGGACAATAAAGAACTGTGGGAGCAATTTCATAAACACAGTACCGAGATGGTTATTACGAAATCTGGGAGGTAAGACATCAGAGACTAACTAACAAACCTTATAGGAACTAACAAATCATTGCTTGCTACTCATTTAGAGTAAGCTAATAATAATTTCAATCACTAGATCATCCATTATCGCATGAAAGATATAAAATATAATTGACAATTTGACAATGTCAGGTTAAAAAACATATGTAGAATTTGATAAATACAAAGCATAAACTAAATGTTTCTTTGATAATAATAACTAGATAATAACGAGTTAAGATCAAATTTAAAAACAATTACAACACAGTTTCCCACATAAAAATACTAAGTTCAAGAACTGTTTGAAGTTTATATTTTAGACATTTGCAGTATACAAATTTGTGATAATAAAGCTTCTCCATTATTTACTTCGTTTAAGCTGATTTATATTGATTTTTGCTTCACAATAAAAGAGCAAAAGCTCTATTACTGTATCTGCACATATCAGTTAATTGTAAACTTACTCTTTCCTCAAATAAGTGGTAAATAAAAGCAATTAAAAATATTTAATATAAATAGTATATATAAAGTATCTAAAACATGTTGGTACCAAAAATGTTGTTAAGAAATAGATAAATTTCACGTCTGAGCTTAAATAATGTTACACTTTACTAAAATAATTGTTATTAATTCTTGTAAAATTTGTGAAGTATATAAGTATATAAACTGATAAAGCACCATATCTTGGGTAAAGTACTGAAAAAACTTAATTTGACTTAAAATAGTAATATTTCACATATATCAAAACTATCATTTTTATAAAACATATTTTTACACAATTTATAAACATATAACCATCGATCTATATTTCAGGGAATATATTTGGAAAAAATAACCAAAAGTTCAGTTCCATTCTGTTATTCTCAATGTCTTTAATTTATATTTTAAATTGGATATATAATACTGAATATATGATACATAAATAAGTAATAAAGTATTTTTATTGTTTCGTTCAATTAGCAACTGGACGGATCACCTGTTCATTTTGTTACCTTGTTAAAGTGTTGCTCAATTTATTATGCAATTCACAGTTTTTACCAATTCTTGTGACAGAAACATTGAAAATGACACACTTATGTCACATAGGTGCGTTCAACAACACGCTCTTGCATGTTAAGATAAATCACTCCAAAGAAACTTGCTCTTAATAACGACGTTGTCACACGTTATATTAATATATACAACAATAAAGAAGGAAAATTATTTAAAATTATAAAAGAGAATTTCATAACTTTGTTTAAATTGTTCTTTTTATATTCAACTTAAAAGAAGGGGAATTATAAAGTAAAGAAAGAGAATCTCTCAAAACTTTATATAAATTGTTTTTATATTTAGTTACTTTATAATTCCTGTCAAATTATTAATATACGTATACTGTATAAGACTTTAAAAAGGGAAACTATAGAGTCTGTTAAAAGTATATTTCTTACTGTTGCCCAATTCAAATTTATTCACATTTGATTTGTCTTTCAAAATTTTCCATGTTTAAATCAGTAAATATAACCAAAGTCTAACATTAAGTAATATAATAGAATATATGATAAATTAGTATCTAAATCATAATACTTATGGTTCCTGAACCAAACTGGACATCCGTCGACATGACTCACTCAAAATGGCAATCCCCAAACCCTAAAACCAGAAATGACACTAATAAAACTGAACCGGAAATCTTCCCAACAAAAACTGCATCTATTGTTGCTTATATATTATTTGAACATTCAGTTTACGCTGGCCTTTATATGTTGTAGTTATAAAAATTGGGTCTCTCAAAACAATTATATACAATGCTTTATTTGTGTATTTCTTGAGCATAATCTAAATGTTGATTGAATCAGACAATACTGTTAACAACCTATGTATAAAAGGTATGAAGAAAGGTCTTTAATGGCATAATGCAAATATCCCAGACAATGCCAGGTATCAAGCGAACACACGTAAAAAATAATACCTGATATAACAAACGATAAAATCTCTTTTTATTAGATTGTTACCAAGTAAGATTAAACATTATAAATAACTAACTGCTACAGTGTTGAATATTGCAATACTTGAAACCTTCATACTATAAAAAAGCATAACTCTATCCATGTTTTATTACAAATCTATTTAGGACAGTGATTTTACAAATCTCATTTCTACATGTGCTATTTTCAATGTTGTTTATTTACACAATAATGAAGGCAAACCTGCATTTTTTCAGGAGAAATACTTGATTGTCAATTACATTAATTGAGCAGTTGTATATAATTCACCTGCTGGTATGGCTGCAGACTTGATTCTTGTTGTAAAACGCTAGAAACAAGCCTATTAAGGCCGTCTCCAGAAAGTCTACAGACCGACTCTAAATTATACATATTGGCTTTATTTTCTGGAAGAACATCTATCAAAAGTCTTATGCGTGGTCTTATGTTTCCTAAGCTTATTACTCATATAAATATCATAAATATTTTGACATATTCTTGTTATTAGCACCTTCTGTGCGGAATTGTCCAGTTAATATCCTTTGACTGTAAGTACCTCAATGCCAACCTCCTTGCACAATGTTATGTGGTGTTACCTTAGTTGTTTTAGCTAGTGATCTGTGAAAGGCTTTTGATACGTTTGAGTGACGGGTCAAATTGTGACATAACAGAGGCAAAGTGTGACATAACAGGGGCAAAGTGTGACATAACAGGGGCAAAGTGTGACATAATACTATTTTTCAATGAGGGTTTAGATCGTGCCAATGTGATCATTTAATCAAATCATTTCACCATCTTTTCAACAGCCCATAGAGTCTAGACAAATCTGGTTGAAATATGATTTTCCAATTTCTTATAAAGGTTTTTCCAGATCGTGTTGAATCAGATACTTCTGGATAACAATAGAGTATTCAAATAATACCACATACATAAAAAAAATCAACGTGCGGTGAATGCTTAAGATGAATAAGTTCGAATCATGATATGTTCTACTTTAACTAATCAGTGTTTAATTATTTTGCACAACAATTCCCAGCTGTTAATTAGATGTGAACTTATGATTGCGAAGACCCCAATCGGCAAAACACTGGAATACAAAATACTTGGGATAAATAAAGCACATAATAATAGCTATAAAAGTAGACATTTATATCAATTAATATCGGACAATGGTTGAATTGGGACCCATGGGCAGGTTCTTGGGATATCAAAGAGATTATTTGATAAAACATACTTGCTAATTACAGGTAATCGCAGGTAAATCGCTTCTAGTCCACGCAACACCTGTTAAAAATATAATTCAATTTTCTTGGAGTCTAAAATATGACTTTTACTTTCTTACATCAGGAATGAATTTGCAATGTTCTTGTGGCTAATGAGAAGTTGATAGGTAGTAATGGTTGATAATTCAAGGGGACTCTTGTCCGTTATCTTGCGACACTTCATAACTCTGATAACCTGTATTGATAACTACAGATAAAAGAAGTGAAAGGAACTTGCAATTTCTATGATGTATTATAGAATACACATTTGTCAAAGAGTGCAAGTTGCAGAAATCAAATTTTCTAATTTCATAATTTCAATTTTAGTAACGAGGTAGTAGGTTTTAATAGCTGTAAGAAATTTACAAAGCAAGAGAAGGACATTTAGAACAAGAAAAGATAACCACCTCTAACTTAATACAAAGATTCAATCCACAAAACAAGTCAATGAAAATCTGAGCCACGAATCATGTTTTTGAACCTTGAAAGAACAACAACGAAAATGTAAATATTTTGTACCATTTAGTCACTTTGTATTGAAAGAGTCATTTCGTGAAAAGTTCAAGTTAAAAAGTTCTCTTTGTTAAGTGGTGGGTTAAGGATATCGTTCTCCAAATTCATCCCAATTCTTATGAATTAAGATGAGTATTGTGTCTTCTTCAGCACACTTCACACTTCTATGTACTATTTGTAGATGATGGTGTTTAAATAGGTGACAATATATTGTCAATTGCTTATGTCATCCCAATATACACGTGAGCAAATTCCAAGAACGTTGCTTTACATATATATGAACAAGAAATAAGAGAGACTTATCTGTACTTTAGAAAAACGGGGCCCTTTCAGCAAATTATTATTGACTTTTTACGTGTCCAACGTCAAATTTTTGGAGTATTGCATGCGTTTTATTAAAATTTTGCATTTCTATTCCCATTCCATTCATTTGTAGCTGAAATATTATCAAACGTTACTTTTCCTTAATATCATGGACATGAAAAGTAAATAGTTCAGATCAAACATATAAAAATTTATGCTGGCATTGTATTTTGCAAATCTTGAAATGATCTACCAAATTTACCAATTCTTTATACTTTAAAAGAAAATGTCACGATTAGACTTATTTATAAAATACTTATATCAGCAAATGGACAATGGATAAAGCTTTAGCAATGGCTAACACTCTTTTATGAGAAAGACATGTTCACAAATCTACCACTTTTTATATCCAATCCGTGAGAAATGAGCATAACTTCAATGCCTAGTGAAATATATACTAATCCGCGACCTGTAAGAATAATTAAATTATAGCGAAATCATAATTGTGTTTCTATATGAACAAAGGTGTGCCACTAACCTACCCTTATTTCAAGCAACAATTACGAAACTATCAAGTTTTTGTACACTTCAGTGACTATTTTATTAATATATCAAAGTGTAATTTTAATTTATAATCAATGAAAATAGACAGATAATTAAAACGATCCCTTTTCATTATTGTTGTTTTATTGCAAAAGGTGTGTACATCATCAAAACTACAAAAGATGATATAAAAAATAGGATGCATGAGAAATGGTTATTATATAGCCATATGATTGTACAAGTAGTTCTCCTACTGGGACCAACTGGTTACTTGAGTATGGGGGCATATCATATTAGCGCCATCTGTTGAAGATAAAAGGGTTCATGGTAAAAAGGTCAGATGCGCAATTTTTCATCTTTATTCACTGAGTTATTTCGTATAAAATTCTACGTCTCCCAATTTCGCTCCCTTGCG